CGGCCGCTGCTACTGGTGGACGGAGCCTTGATGATGATGGTGGGGATGGGGATGGAGTTCTTCTCTGAGGGCGCGGCCGCGGCGGGCGGCGGCTGCGGGGACGCCGGGGACGTGGGCGAGGGGGCGGGCGGGAGGCCGCCGCCCTTCTGGGGCTCGCCTTCGACCTTGGTCTGCTTGACCAGGGGCCCCTTGCGCCCGCGGCCCGAGCGGGCTGGCACGTACATGGCCGCGCTGGCCGCCCGGGGGGGCAGCTGGAAGTAGCGCAGGGCCGGGGCCTGGGAGGAGCCGATGCCCCCGCCCCCGCCGCCGTGGTGCGACGGGGACGGGGCCCCCGGGGTGGGGCCGGGCCCGCCACCCCGCCAGCCGCGCAGGCTGGGCTGCGGCCCCAGGGCCAGTCGGGGTGGGGGGTCGTCGGGAGAGCCGCCCGTCTCCATCTCCGGGGGATGAGGGGGGTGGGCGTGGTGGTGGTGAGGCTGGGGGGGGCGGGGCGTGATGGTGGTGGTGGTGGGGCGGGTGGTGGTGGGCGGGGGGCAGGGGCCCGCTGTGGTACAGGCTCTTCTCACGGCCCCCTACGCGCGTGTCGGGAGGGGAGGGCCCATCGAAGGACGCAGGGGAAGAGGAGGGGAGGGGGCCACCCGAACTGGGGTTGAAGGGCCCTCCTCTGGGGGATGGGGTGAGGCGGCCCGAGGAGGAGGGGGCCGGAGGTGTGCTGTAGGGGGGCTCCGGTGGGGACGTGGTGGGCGGCGGAGGGATGTCCTCCGAGCCAGGCACAGACAGGCTGCGGCTGAACTTCATGGCTGGGGGTGCTAGGTAGGGTCTATCATCTTCTGCAGCCCCTGGGAAGACACAAGGGATCCAGGAGAGTGGGGGGAGGGGGGGGGTCACAGGGCTGCTAAAACTGTAGTCGCAGTATTAACGAAACCATCAAGAAGGAGAAGAAGAATGACGATAAATACGACGACCCTTAGCAAGCCTACGCTGAGACGCTCACGCAAGGAAGGATTAGTCCAGAGCTTCCCCAGGTGCGACAAATGCGCTCGACCACACAGGTTGCGCATCGCACGACAGCAACCGGCAGAGGGAGCGAGGGGGTCGGGGTGGGGCGCAATTCAGCTGAACTTCCGCCCCGTGCCAGGAGGGGGCGCCTTTCTCTAACTCGCACGGAGGCACGTTAAGCGCCAGGGGTGGCTGGGGGTGAGCAAAAGTGGCTGGAGGCGAGGGGCAGAGAGGTACCATGTTCGCGCGCGTCGCCGTAGGTTTCTTTTCACGGAGGCGCAGAAAGGAAATGCCACTAGCACATCAAACCTGCGATTTCACAGGCGGAACGACTTAGGGTGAGGCTAACGTTTAGGAGGCAGAGCCGCCTTAGAGGTAAGCAGTGCTGGGTGGCTTTAGAGGGAGTCGAGATCAGGTACCTGATGGGACACAAACGCAAGACTCGCACGGGTGGACTGTGGACGCTGGAAAGAGGAGAAAAGCTAGACCCAGTTAGCAAAAGGCCTCAGAGTGGATAGGGAGAGCAAAGACTTTTGCCTACTCATCACTGCCAGGGCTCAGGCTTTGACCGTGTCCTCACCTCTGACTACTCTCTCTCCCCTGGGGTCATCTCAAGCCGCGTCCTGGATCATTAACTCCGTCTCTGCTGAAGACGCCTGTGTCTGTCCTGGGGCTCAGTCCTCTCCCCTGAGCTCCAGGCTCCTATATCCAAATGCCACATCTACTCGGATGTCCCGCTGGCATCTGAGACTTAGCAGGCCCCCGACTGTACCCCTGATCTCTTCTGACCCCAGAGTCTCCCCCATCGGAGCAAATGGTGGCTCAATCCTACCTCAGGACCTTTGTCCCGGCCGTTCCCGCTACCTGGAATGCCTTACTGCCTTATACCCACGTGGCTCTCCCCTTCATTTCCATGTCTTAAAGATTTTTTTTAGATGTTTATTTAATTTAGAGGGAGAGAGTGAGGGGGGCAGAGAGAGGAGGAACCAGGATCCGGGGCTCCAACTCACGAACCGTGAAATCACGATGTGAGCCGAAGTCGGATGCTCAACCGACCGAGCCACCCAGGCGCCCTTCATTTCCATGCTTTGGCTCAAACCTGCCTCCCAGAACTCCTGACTTCTCTTATTCTGCTGTTCCTCCCCTCCCCCCCCTCCCCCCCCCCCCCCCCAGAGAACTTAACACTGTGAACATACTATATCATTGTCTTGTTTCTTAACCTTATAAGCCAATATCTTCCTCTGCTGGAAGGAAAACTCCACGAGGACAGGACCTTTTGGTCTGTTTTGTTCACTGCCATGTATCACCAGCAGTCTAGGACATATGGTAGGGGGCCAATAAATATTTGTAGAACGGATGGATGGATGGATGGATGGATGAAGTCAGATATGAGAAGGCACCAGGGTCTGTGGTGGGGGCTTCAACCCACTGCATCCAGGCGGGAACAGTAAGGTGCCCATTTTCTAGAGGCAGAACCCAAGGCCCACAGAGGTGAAGCTCCCTGCCCCAGGTCACACAGCTAGGAGGGACAAAAGCCAGGATCCAAACGCAGATTTGCCCAAACAACAAAGCCTGAGCTCTTTGCCCAACTCAACGGAACCGTGGTCACGTACGGAAGTAGGAAAGAACATTTCAAAGCCCCATTCATTTCTCCCGTAAACTGTCACCCTCCCCAGCCTCCCCCTCCCCCGCGGGCATCCATTATACCCCCCCCCCCCTTCTGGGTGACATACCGATAGATTTTTGCCGGAGCAT